GCTGGAGATTACTGAAATACTTGCTGATTATTTCGATGAATTACGAAATGATGAAGTGCATCCATTACACGAGGAAATGAAAAAAAAAAAAGAAAAGAAACAATATTTTTAATTGCCTTTTAACAAAAATTATGTGTTAAATATTATATAAGGACATTTTTATGTGTAAAAACGTATTAATTATTTTTGTAATTCAATGTATACAGTAAAACCTGCGTTAACCGGAATCGTTACATTTTCCGGATTAGCAGATTTCCGTTTTAAACAGGTTTTTTAAACATAGAAAACCGCTTCGTTTAGTCCGGTTTCCGTTTTATTCAGGTGCCGTTTAGGACAGGTTTTACTGCATTTACTTATTATTTTTTTATTCAAGTTTCCTTACTTATAATACGCATCTGTACAGTAAGCAATAAAGTAAATTACATATTATTTATTAAAAAGTAATTAAAATTATTTATTTTAAAGAATAAAATATCGTTTTTTATTTCTCAGAAATTTTATTTTAGTCAGTTTTTAAACATACATCTTAACTTTCAATTTATTGATCGGATGCTGCTGACTCATCGAGTATCTATCACATTTCGTTTTGTTACAATTAAATGCGTTTTAGTTTTATTTGAAAATTTAAACTTTATGTATATTTATATTGTTTAACATTTATACCTGTTAGAAAATTACATCCTGTAATGAACATATTTAATCAAGTACTTCAGAGTGCTTCACAAGTGGAGGAAGAGCTGCAAGTGGAGTAAAGTAGCTAGAGGAGAGAGTAGCTGAAGGTAAAAAAGAGCAAGGGGAGTAGCACATAGAGCAAGGGGAACTAGAGGAACAACGAAAACTAGAGGAGTACATGGACCAAATGGAGCTGGAACTGCACAGGGAGCAAGAGGAGCTGGAGGAACACAGGTAGCAAAAGAAAGTGAAGGAGTACGGATAGCAAGGTGAACTAGAGGAGCACAGGGAGCAAGAGGAGCTGGAGGAGCACAGGTAGCAAAAGAAACTGAAGGAGTACGGACAGCAAGGTGAACTAGAGGAGCACAGGGAGCAAGAGGAGCTGGAGGAGCACAGGTAGCAAAAGAAAGTGAAGGAGTACGGATAGCAAGGTGAACTAGAGGAGCACAGGGAGCAAGAGGAGCTGGAGGAGCACAGGTAGCAAAAGAAACTGAAGGAGTACGGACAGCAAGGTGAACTAGAGGAGCACAGGGAGCAAGAGGAGCTGGAGGAGCACAGGTAGCAAAAGAAACTGAAGGAGTACGGATAGCAAGGTGAACTAGAGGAGCACAGGGAGCAAGAGGAGCTGGAGGAGCACAGGTAGCAAAAGAAACTGAAGGAGTACGGACAGCAAGGTGAACTAGAGGAGCACAGGGAGCAAGAGGAGCTGGAGGAGCACAGGTAGCAAAAGAAAGTGAAGGAGTACGGATAGCAAGGTGAACTAGAGGAGCACAGGGAGCAAGAGGAGCTGGAGGAGCACAGGTAGCAAAAGAAACTGAAGGAGTACGGACAGCAAGGTGAACTAGAGGAGCACAGGGAGCAAGAGGAGCTGGAGGAGCACAGGTAGCAAAAGAAAGTGAAGGAGTACGGATAGCAAGGTGAACTAGAGGAGCACAGGGAGCAAGAGGAGCTGGAGGAGCACAGGTAGCAAAAGAAACTGAAGGAGTACGGACAGCAAGGTGAACTAGAGGAGCACAGGGAGCAAGAGGAGCTGGAGGAGCACAGGTAGCAAAAGAAAGTGAAGGAGTACGGATAGCAAGGTGAACTAGAGGAGCACAGGGAGCAAGAGGAGCTGGAGGAGCACAGGTAGCAAAAGAAACTGAAGGAGTACGGACAGCAAGGTGAACTAGAGGAGCACAGGGAGCAAGAGGAGCTGGAGGAGCACAGGTAGCAAAAGAAAGTGAAGGAGTACGGATAGCAAGGTGAACTAGAGGAGCACAGGGAGCAAGAGGAGCTGGAGGAGCACAGGTAGCAAAAGAAACTGAAGGAGTACGGACAGCAAGGTGAACTAGAGGAGCACAGGGAGCAAGAGGAGCTGGAGGAGCACAGGTAGCAAAAGAAAGTGAAGGAGTACGGATAGCAAGGTGAACTAGAGGAGCACAGGGAGCAAGAGGAGCTGGAGGAGCACAGGTAGCAAAAGAAACTGAAGGAGTACGGACAGCAAGGTGAACTAGAGGAGCACAGGGAGCAAGAGGAGCTGGAGGAGCACAGGTAGCAAAAGAAAGTGAAGGAGTACGGATAGCAAGGTGAACTAGAGGAGCACAGGGAGCAAGAGGAGCTGGAGGAGCACAGGTAGCAAAAGAAACTGAAGGAGTACGGACAGCAAGGTGAACTAGAGGAGCACAGGGAGCAAGAGGAGCTGGAGGAGCACAGGTAGCAAAAGAAAGTGAAGGAGTACGGATAGCAAGGTGAACTAGAGGAGCACAGGGAGCAAGAGGAGCTGGAGGAGCACAGGTAGCAAAAGAAACTGAAGGAGTACGGACAGCAAGGTGAACTAGAGGAGCACAGGGAGCAAGAGGAGCTGGAGGAGCACAGGTAGCAAAAGAAAGTGAAGGAGTACGGATAGCAAGGTGAACTAGAGGAGCACAGGGAGCAAGAGGAGCTGGAGGAGCACAGGTAGCAAAAGAAACTGAAGGAGTACGGACAGCAAGGTGAACTAGAGGAGCACAGGGAGCAAGAGGAGCTGGAGGAGCACAGGTAGCAAAAGAAAGTGAAGGAGTACGGATAGCAAGGTGAACTAGAGGAGCACAGGGAGCAAGAGGAGCTGGAGGAGCACAGGTAGCAAAAGAAACTGAAGGAGTACGGACAGCAAGGTGAACTAGAGGAGCACAGGGAGCAAGAGGAGCTGGAGGAGCACAGGTAGCAAAAGAAAGTGAAGGAGTACGGATAGCAAGGTGAACTAGAGGAGCACAGGGAGCAAGAGGAGCTGGAGGAGCACAGGTAGCAAAAGAAACTGAAGGAGTACGGACAGCAAGGTGAACTAGAGGAGCACAGGGAGCAAGAGGAGCTGGAGGAGCACAGGTAGCAAAAGAAAGTGAAGGAGTACGGATAGCAAGGTGAACTAGAGGAGCACAGGGAGCAAGAGGAGCTGGAGGAGCACAGGTAGCAAAAGAAACTGAAGGAGTACGGACAGCAAGGTGAACTAGAGGAGCACAGGGAGCAAGAGGAGCTGGAGGAGCACAGGTAGCAAAAGAAAGTGAAGGAGTACGGATAGCAAGGTGAACTAGAGGAGCACAGGGAGCAAGAGGAGCTGGAGGAGCACAGGTAGCAAAAGAAACTGAAGGAGTACGGACAGCAAGGTGAACTAGAGGAGCACAGGGAGCAAGAGGAGCTGGAGGAGCACAGGTAGCAAAAGAAAGTGAAGGAGTACGGATAGCAAGGTGAACTAGAGGAGCACAGGGAGCAAGAGGAGCTGGAGGAGCACAGGTAGCAAAAGAAACTGAAGGAGTACGGACAGCAAGGTGAACTAGAGGAGCACAGGGAGCAAGAGGAGCTGGAGGAGCACAGGTAGCAAAAGAAAGTGAAGGAGTACGGATAGCAAGGTGAACTAGAGGAGCACAGGGAGCAAGAGGAGCTGGAGGAGCACAGGTAGCAAAAGAAACTGAAGGAGTACGGACAGCAAGGTGAACTAGAGGAGCACAGGGAGCAAGAGGAGCTGGAGGAGCACAGGTAGCAAAAGAAAGTGAAGGAGTACGGATAGCAAGGTGAACTAGAGGAGCACAGGGAGCAAGAGGAGCTGGAGGAGCACAGGTAGCAAAAGAAACTGAAGGAGTACGGACAGCAAGGTGAACTAGAGGAGCACAGGGAGCAAGAGGAGCTGGAGGAGCACAGGTAGCAAAAGAAAGTGAAGGAGTACGGATAGCAAGGTGAACTAGAGGAGCACAGGGAGCAAGAGGAGCTGGAGGAGCACAGGTAGCAAAAGAAACTGAAGGAGTACGGACAGCAAGGTGAACTAGAGGAGCACAGGGAGCAAGAGGAGCTGGAGGAGCACAGGTAGCAAAAGAAAGTGAAGGAGTACGGATAGCAAGGTGAACTAGAGGAGCACAGGGAGCAAGAGGAGCTGGAGGAGCACAGGTAGCAAAAGAAACTGAAGGAGTACGGACAGCAAGGTGAACTAGAGGAGCACAGGGAGCAAGAGGAGCTGGAGGAGCACAGGTAGCAAAAGAAAGTGAAGGAGTACGGATAGCAAGGTGAACTAGAGGAGCACAGGGAGCAAGAGGAGCTGGAGGAGCACAGGTAGCAAAAGAAACTGAAGGAGTACGGACAGCAAGGTGAACTAGAGGAGCACAGGGAGCAAGAGGAGCTGGAGGAGCACAGGTAGCAAAAGAAAGTGAAGGAGTACGGATAGCAAGGTGAACTAGAGGAGCACAGGGAGCAAGAGGAGCTGGAGGAGCACAGGTAGCAAAAGAAACTGAAGGAGTACGGACAGCAAGGTGAACTAGAGGAGCACAGGGAGCAAGAGGAGCTGGAGGAGCACAGGTAGCAAAAGAAAGTGAAGGAGTACGGATAGCAAGGTGAACTAGAGGAGCACAGGGAGCAAGAGGAGCTGGAGGAGCACAGGTAGCAAAAGAAACTGAAGGAGTACGGACAGCAAGGTGAACTAGAGGAGCACAGGGAGCAAGAGGAGCTGGAGGAGCACAGGTAGCAAAAGAAAGTGAAGGAGTACGGATAGCAAGGTGAACTAGAGGAGCACAGGGAGCAAGAGGAGCTGGAGGAGCACAGGTAGCAAAAGAAACTGAAGGAGTACGGACAGCAAGGTGAACTAGAGGAGCACAGGGAGCAAGAGGAGCTGGAGGAGCACAGGTAGCAAAAGAAAGTGAAGGAGTACGGATAGCAAGGTGAACTAGAGGAGCACAGGGAGCAAGAGGAGCTGGAGGAGCACAGGTAGCAAAAGAAACTGAAGGAGTACGGACAGCAAGGTGAACTAGAGGAGCACAGGGAGCAAGAGGAGCTGGAGGAGCACAGGTAGCAAAAGAAAGTGAAGGAGTACGGATAGCAAGGTGAACTAGAGGAGCACAGGGAGCAAGAGGAGCTGGAGGAGCACAGGTAGCAAAAGAAACTGAAGGAGTACGGACAGCAAGGTGAACTAGAGGAGCACAGGGAGCAAGAGGAGCTGGAGGAGCACAGGTAGCAAAAGAAAGTGAAGGAGTACGGATAGCAAGGTGAACTAGAGGAGCACAGGGAGCAAGAGGAGCTGGAGGAGCACAGGTAGCAAAAGAAACTGAAGGAGTACGGACAGCAAGGTGAACTAGAGGAGCACAGGGAGCAAGAGGAGCTGGAGGAGCACAGGTAGCAAAAGAAAGTGAAGGAGTACGGATAGCAAGGTGAACTAGAGGAGCACAGGGAGCAAGAGGAGCTGGAGGAGCACAGGTAGCAAAAGAAACTGAAGGAGTACGGACAGCAAGGTGAACTAGAGGAGCACAGGGAGCAAGAGGAGCTGGAGGAGCACAGGTAGCAAAAGAAAGTGAAGGAGTACGGATAGCAAGGTGAACTAGAGGAGCACAGGGAGCAAGAGGAGCTGGAGGAGCACAGGTAGCAAAAGAAACTGAAGGAGTACGGACAGCAAGGTGAACTAGAGGAGCACAGGGAGCAAGAGGAGCTGGAGGAGCACAGGTAGCAAAAGAAAGTGAAGGAGTACGGATAGCAAGGTGAACTAGAGGAGCACAGGGAGCAAGAGGAGCTGGAGGAGCACAGGTAGCAAAAGAAACTGAAGGAGTACGGACAGCAAGGTGAACTAGAGGAGCACAGGGAGCAAGAGGAGCTGGAGGAGCACAGGTAGCAAAAGAAAGTGAAGGAGTACGGATAGCAAGGTGAACTAGAGGAGCACAGGGAGCAAGAGGAGCTGGAGGAGCACAGGTAGCAAAAGAAACTGAAGGAGTACGGACAGCAAGGTGAACTAGAGGAGCACAGGGAGCAAGAGGAGCTGGAGGAGCACAGGTAGCAAAAGAAAGTGAAGGAGTACGGATAGCAAGGTGAACTAGAGGAGCACAGGGAGCAAGAGGAGCTGGAGGAGCACAGGTAGCAAAAGAAACTGAAGGAGTACGGACAGCAAGGTGAACTAGAGGAGCACAGGGAGCAAGAGGAGCTGGAGGAGCACAGGTAGCAAAAGAAAGTGAAGGAGTACGGATAGCAAGGTGAACTAGAGGAGCACAGGGAGCAAGAGGAGCTGGAGGAGCACAGGTAGCAAAAGAAACTGAAGGAGTACGGACAGCAAGGTGAACTAGAGGAGCACAGGGAGCAAGAGGAGCTGGAGGAGCACAGGTAGCAAAAGAAAGTGAAGGAGTACGGATAGCAAGGTGAACTAGAGGAGCACAGGGAGCAAGAGGAGCTGGAGGAGCACAGGTAGCAAAAGAAACTGAAGGAGTACGGACAGCAAGGTGAACTAGAGGAGCACAGGGAGCAAGAGGAGCTGGAGGAGCACAGGTAGCAAAAGAAAGTGAAGGAGTACGGATAGCAAGGTGAACTAGAGGAGCACAGGGAGCAAGAGGAGCTGGAGGAGCACAGGTAGCAAAAGAAACTGAAGGAGTACGGACAGCAAGGTGAACTAGAGGAGCACAGGGAGCAAGAGGAGCTGGAGGAGCACAGGTAGCAAAAGAAAGTGAAGGAGTACGGATAGCAAGGTGAACTAGAGGAGCACAGGGAGCAAGAGGAGCTGGAGGAGCACAGGTAGCAAAAGAAACTGAAGGAGTACGGACAGCAAGGTGAACTAGAGGAGCACAGGGAGCAAGAGGAGCTGGAGGAGCACAGGTAGCAAAAGAAAGTGAAGGAGTACGGATAGCAAGGTGAACTAGAGGAGCACAGGGAGCAAGAGGAGCTGGAGGAGCACAGGTAGCAAAAGAAACTGAAGGAGTACGGACAGCAAGGTGAACTAGAGGAGCACAGGGAGCAAGAGGAGCTGGAGGAGCACAGGTAGCAAAAGAAAGTGAAGGAGTACGGATAGCAAGGTGAACTAGAGGAGCACAGGGAGCAAGAGGAGCTGGAGGAGCACAGGTAGCAAAAGAAACTGAAGGAGTACGGACAGCAAGGTGAACTAGAGGAGCACAGGGAGCAAGAGGAGCTGGAGGAGCACAGGTAGCAAAAGAAAGTGAAGGAGTACGGATAGCAAGGTGAACTAGAGGAGCACAGGGAGCAAGAGGAGCTGGAGGAGCACAGGTAGCAAAAGAAACTGAAGGAGTACGGACAGCAAGGTGAACTAGAGGAGCACAGGGAGCAAGAGGAGCTGGAGGAGCACAGGTAGCAAAAGAAAGTGAAGGAGTACGGATAGCAAGGTGAACTAGAGGAGCACAGGGAGCAAGAGGAGCTGGAGGAGCACAGGTAGCAAAAGAAACTGAAGGAGTACGGACAGCAAGGTGAACTAGAGGAGCACAGGGAGCAAGAGGAGCTGGAGGAGCACAGGTAGCAAAAGAAAGTGAAGGAGTACGGATAGCAAGGTGAACTAGAGGAGCACAGGGAGCAAGAGGAGCTGGAGGAGCACAGGTAGCAAAAGAAACTGAAGGAGTACGGACAGCAAGGTGAACTAGAGGAGCACAGGGAGCAAGAGGAGCTGGAGGAGCACAGGTAGCAAAAGAAAGTGAAGGAGTACGGATAGCAAGGTGAACTAGAGGAGCACAGGGAGCAAGAGGAGCTGGAGGAGCACAGGTAGCAAAAGAAACTGAAGGAGTACGGACAGCAAGGTGAACTAGAGGAGCACAGGGAGCAAGAGGAGCTGGAGGAGCACAGGTAGCAAAAGAAAGTGAAGGAGTACGGATAGCAAGGTGAACTAGAGGAGCACAGGGAGCAAGAGGAGCTGGAGGAGCACAGGTAGCAAAAGAAACTGAAGGAGTACGGACAGCAAGGTGAACTAGAGGAGCACAGGGAGCAAGAGGAGCTGGAGGAGCACAGGTAGCAAAAGAAAGTGAAGGAGTACGGATAGCAAGGTGAACTAGAGGAGCACAGGGAGCAAGAGGAGCTGGAGGAGCACAGGTAGCAANTGGAATATTTCGTTAAAAAAAAATAAGAAAAATTTGAAATTTTTGCATACTATTTTAACTATTTTCTAGTTTAAAATATACAAGCAAATCATTGTTTAAATGGGGATAAAAATAAATAAATAAATTTACAATAAGAAAATGGGAAATTACTTTTATTTATTTTGAATTGTAAAAAATGAAGATAAATGATTTTATGGGTGTATCTTTTTTTTTTAACAATGTGATAAAGAAGAACATTAGGGAAAAAGTTAGAAATTCACATTCGGTGCAAGGACATAATAGATCGTGCTATACCTGAAGACTTGTTTCTAAACTGGTACGTCATAACACGAACACGTGGTCCTTGATTTCCCCCTTTAAGTATTTCAGGCGGAAGAAGGGGAAGTATTAAAAGGTAGAACAAAACCCGATCAAATCAGTTGAAGTGTATCTTTTGGTGTTGTATCTTTAGTACTTGTGGATTGATGATTTAACTATTGTGTTAACATGTTGAAAAGAGTAAGTCCATTATATAAAACTTATCTAACTTTAAGTAAGATTAACTTCATGTTAGAATTTATTTAAGAACTGAAATGTATTTTATATTATCTAAATTCTAAATCATAAAAATTTTATTACATATATTGTTTTGTGAATATTATATAATAATTTTTTAAATTAATTCTTTAATTATGTAAGGAATTTATTTTTATGAAGAATTTCTAAATTTTGGTTTTTTAAAAAATTCAGGCCTGAAATTATGGTTTATTTTCATGTTTTTTTTTATGTTAAAAGACGTCTTCATTATTACTAAAATTCCTTATTAATTTCACGAAATAATTCCTTCATTCTTTTTAAAAAATTGAATTAAGAATTTATTTATTATTATTAAAGTTTCGTTTTTAAACCTATTTAAAGTTTTTTTTTATGTTAAAAGTGAGGTTTTATTGATTTAAATCATGACAATTGAGTTGTAATTAATGGGATTGGTGAAATTAGGCAACATCTGCCATGATGTTGGCAGTCTTTCTATAAGAAGGTGATCCTCATTTAGTTGGTAGATTCATAGAAAGAATCAATTATTTAAATGTTTGATTTATAAAAATGTAACCCTCATTTAGGTGTTAGATAGACAGGAAAGTGACCCCCCCATTTAGGTGGTAGATAGACAGGAAAGTGACCCCCATTTAGGTGTTAGATCTGTAGATATGTGACACTCCAGTTGAATTTAGATTCATAGAAAAATTACTCCCATTTTGGTGTTAGATACATTAGAAAACTCGAAAAATTTTTCGTGATTAATTCGTTCGTCGGGTTCGAACCCGCGACAAGTGTTCAGCTAAGCGATCTTCCTTAATAACTAATGACAATTCTCATTTATTTTCTATCAAAGTAGTTTACTTGCTAATTTTTTCACATTAAAAAAAATTTCGAATATATTTGTGACATTTTTAAATATCCAAAATAGAATTTTATTGATTTAAATCGTCATAATTGAATAAAACATAAAATGATAAGTTTTATATTAAAGCTGTAGAAAATTTTTGTTTAATATTTAAAGTAATTATTATTAAATTAAATTTCTATCTTTTAAAAATATGAGAATTTATTACTTGACTCTTCACATTAACACGGTAATTATATTTAATTTTTACGAGGAAAAGAAAAAATAAATAAATGAATAAATACATTGTTAAGTTCAAGGAAGAAAAGATTCTGTAAATAATATCGTAAAAAATTTATGTATATTTTCATTTATAGTTTTAATTCCGCTTACTATAATTTTATAAGATTTATGAGGAACATTATGGTATTGCATATTATGCTAAACACAAGAATTTGTACGCTGTTCTAATATTACTGGGATATTTAATTGTAAACGTAACATTTTTGCGCTAAATTTTATAAACTAATAAAGATTTTTAGTTATTTAAGGAACTTATTTATCACATTTAAAAAAATTCCCTGCTGTTATATACCCTGTGTAAGAGGAAAAGTATGGCGATCAGACAGAATTTTAACTTTTTCCCGGAAAAGTTATACAACTCGTTGCTGGATAATTTTTAAATGTAATTTTGCATTTTCAAATTATTACAAGAAGGTGATATTTAGTGTTTTTCGTTTTATATTTATTAACTTTATGGATCAATTTATTAAACTGTATAATATTGATATGTATAGACCTATATATCGTTGTATGCCTAACAATGAGGACCTTCCAACAACGGACATCTTTAAACGGCTTCCATTTTTCCAGGAATATCTTCTTTGACAAAAATGCGTACGATATAACTTCAAAACAATGGTTGATTTTTTATGGTGACAGTTTGTTCAGAGGTTTGACTGAAAATTAATCAAGAGAAAGAGATTAAAAGAAAACTTTACATGAAAACTAAAGCTTTGAATTACTCTACACAATTAGATACGTTGTCGCCTTAATTTATTAACTATATGTTCTTCCCCTGCATCAATTTATGATACGTATTAAAATCTGACTCCCCCAAACTGTATAACTTAGAGTCTAAAGCCAGACAGTTTAATTATGTGCAAATCCGATTCTACAATTACGCATAACAATTTTTCTAGATTGGTGATAAATCTGGTTATATTTACTTAAAATATAAAAATTTTAATTAAATTTTATTCATTTTTCATTACTTATACACATCAAGAATTAAAAAATAATAATAATTTAGGATCACATAATGTTTATAAAATGCCCTGAAAGATGTATACTAATTCCTGACAAAAATTCTTATTGCACTTCAAAAAGCGTAGAAAACAGATAATAAATTTACTTTAAATAAGTATAATAGCAATATCCATCATAAAAATTTTAAGAAAAACTTAAATAAGAAAAAGAGGAGGAGGATAGAGGATTGAGGGATGCATTGTTGGATGTAGCAGTTTCCGCTGATACTTCATCTTTGTCATCTTTCAAGTGATCCACTAGAAAATAGAAGTTACAAAGTGCAATTTAAGATGACACGAAAAAAATATAGTTTCAAAGTGATAAAAAGCACATTTTTTAAAGAAAAAAAACAAGAAAAATGAAATGTCTTCTTCAAAGAGAAACTTTGAAAAAATCTATAAATATGCGGTGTTATATTATATATCATCATTTAAAATATACTAGCAATAATAATTTTATGAGAATTTATATTAGTTCAGTTATAGTATGAAACTTTAATAACAAAATTAACTTGTAATTTTATTCAATGGCTTTGTATATTTTTTAAAACCTTATAAATCTTGATTTTTAATCGAATATTCTTTTACTTTTATGACGTATTTTGAATTTGTTTTAGTGTTATAAATCATTATAAACACCGAAAAATATTAATTATAATTTTCAATAACTTTTAATTAAATGTTATAAATTTATGTATAATTGCTAATATTCATCGTGTTTTACATTTATGATCGATTTGTAATGCAGTTTTATAATAAATTTGAATGCTTGTTCGATTTGAATGCTGCATTTAGCACCAGAGGCAGAATCCCAGCATCCAGGTGAAACAACTAGCATCAGATTCTAGATGCATCAACCTAGCATCCAGATGAAACAACCAGCATCAGATTCTGGATGCATCAACCCAGAATGCAGATGAAACATCCAGCATCAGATTCCAGATGCATCAACCCAGCATCCAGATGTAGGAACCAGCACTCAGTATTCAACTTCTGGATGCTGTACATAGATGCGACAACATCAACGACGTAAAACTTAGAGGCACATGCTGTTGTAGTATTCAGAAAGGAAAAAAAAAACTTCAAAATTTGAATAAAAAATAACAGTATTTTATCCTAAGTTAAACTTGTCAAATATAAAATTTATTGCAATAGTTTTATCGAAAGTTTGCAAAATCTATCAAATTCTATCGCGTATAAAACATTGAAAGATGGTAAATATTTGCTGGAAAAAAATGAAAATTTTGTAAAAATTTCATCATAAAAGACTCTTAAAATTAGTCGAAAATATGAAGGAATTTATTAATTATAAATTAAATTAATAAAACAAAGATGAAATTATACTAATTAATTTGAATAATTTAGAAAAAAAAACGAAAAAAATAACTTAATTATAATGATAAAAATCAAATGCCATAAGAGAAAATTATATAAAATAATCAAAAATTCTTATTTTCTGGTTATATTCGCGCTTGTTAGCTATCTTAACACGTGACTCTACACAACCCAATATAATCGCTTGCACTTAAAAAGATTGCAAATTATAAAAAAATTATGTATAAAAAATCAAAAACCCGGTTAAATTATTAACCTAATAATAAATTTTCATTCGATGTATATCAGTAAAACGGTAGTTTTAAATAAATTCCTATTATAACAGTAAAATTTTCTTATTTACGTTAAGAATTCAAATATGGCGTTCAGAAACGGTACATCTAATTCATTACTTAAATTACTTTTTAAATTTTTTATTCATTTATTTATTATTATTTTATTTTATTTACGAGTATTTTATTTAAAAATTAAATAGCTTTTAAATGTTTCAGTTGGTTGTAACGTAAATAACGTACAGTAACTATTATAATGGTATGAAACTAAGAAAAATAAAAAATATATATATATACACATTTCAAAATCGATTTTCTTAATACCAAATAAATGAATTAAAAGAATTACAACTGAATTTAACCGACACTTTAATTAAATAATTAAATATCTCGTTAAGTCAGATCTAATTAAATTTGGATTATGTTGATTTTAATATTTAAATAGATTCGAAGACACTATTAAATTTAAAAGTGCATTTTCTAAATGTAAATCTTTCTTTTTAATAAGTTAAAACGTTCGTAACTCAATCACTTAATTCGCTGCGATAACAAAGATGGCGGCGGAACATGGTGTAATTCACTTAATTTACTTTAACCGTTTCCAGTTTTTCCTCCACTTTTTTTCTATTAATTCCTCATTTTTTATAAATTAAACTCAATTTTTAGAATTTAAATAACTTATTTAATGTTGGTTTTTCGTT